GGCCTGCACCAGCGCCGAGGAGCTGGAGCAGGAGCGGAGCAAGGCAGGAGCCCCAGTCCCGAGCCCGGCGGGTGGGGGGAGAGCACAGCCCGACCTAACGCCTCTTTTTGTCCTCTCTTGGCCAGCTGTCGGTAGACACTCTGCAGTTCCTGCTCTTCCTGTACGTCCAGCAGGTGAACAAGGTTTCTTTGCGAAGGTCTCTGATCGGGGAGGAATGGCCCAGCCCCAGGATCAAGTCTCCCAGTCTGTCAGGAAAATCTACCAGCGAGAATAAGGTAGCCGTGGCTGTGAGATTCTCCGTGCGCGGCCATGTGGGAAACTGCAAAGATTTGCCTCGACGGGAGTTGAAAAGTGGCTGATTGGCTCTTGGGAGGGCAAAAAGTGTCAGGTTTGAACCTGGGAACAAATCTGCCTGTGGTAAAGCCTAAGGTTCCAGTCAAAGTGGAGATACTTTGCTCAGTGGTGAATGAAATGAAATGGTGTATTCTCTGCAGCTTTACCAGCAAAAGTTGTCCATGGGAATTCCCTAGAGTCTGAGACCAACTGTGAAAGTTACCTCAGAGTCTTGACAGTTCTTCTTTTGAGAAGCAATTGCCTCTGCCTTTTCTATTAGTCAAACGGGAACCTTTCTTACGCTGGAGGTTGCTTTCCCATGATACACATTAAAGTATTAGGATCCCAGGGTGGTCTCTAGCATTAGGTTATGTGTCAGAGAGGAGAGTTGCTTGGTCATCTGTAGATTACCCATGTGGAAATGCTAATGTTTCCTTTTAAAATACTATGAAGTATTTTAGGAGAAGTGAGTTGGATGTATCGGGTGCAGCTTGTAGACAGCTCTGTATTTGAGAGTGAATTACAGATTGGCAACATCGTTATAAAGTCCAGCTGCAAACCTCAGTGGATTTCTGTCTTGATTGTGATGCTGTAAGTTGTATGAGCTAGTGAAATGTAGCTGAAATAGGACAAGCTGAAATAATTAAACCAGGTAACTTCATGGTGAAAGACTGAACAAAGGAATAAAGAAACAAGAGGGCCTGACACAGGCCTGTGAGTTGGGTGGCTGTGGAGCATCCAACGTTATTTAAAAGCTGATGTTTTGTTTTAACTGTAGCCATTACATAAAACTCTGGGCAGGGAGGAGGTGTGTGTTGGCTGCCATTATACACCTCCCAGAGGTTTCGAGTCCTGATAGGACTGAGGCTATCTCCACTAGTGTTAGTTTGGTCGAGCGTGCCCACTTTGGAAATAGTGTAGCGAGGCTGGTCTGCTGTGAGAAGGTACCTGTCACAGTGCAGGGATCTCTAGCTGCTGGCCAAGATGCTCATAGCTCCTTGTTAAGGCCTTTTGGGTACAGCCCTTGTGGATCATGAAGACAATGTGTAATCATGTCCGTGTGTTGCTTGTTCTGCAGTTCACAGGCCAGCAAAGGTTGTCTTTTATTAAGGGCTACCATAATTCTAGTATTCCTTTTTTTTTTTTTTTTCTGAAGACCTTCAGAATTTGAACTAATGATTCAGAGGTTGTCTGGTTTATTGGTCCACTCACTGTGAAGAAATAACCCTCTGCCTTTTTCGCTGCAGTGCCTCAGAAGGCGACACTGAATCGTTTTTGAAGGTCTGGAAGAGATGCAGTGATTTTCCAATAGAGCAGTAGCAAGACCTTGACTGTCAGTTATTGATTTATTTCCTGTCTTCAATTGCCAGCAGTAGCTGGCTGAACTTGTGCAGGAAGGATTGTAGGAGAGTTTGTTTCTGCTTTCTAGAATGAAATATTTGGTTCTTAGAGTAAAATGTTCTTTTTTTTCACTTTGGGAGGAGGCTGCTTTCTGTATTTTGAAGAGCAGAGCAGCAGAAGCAGTGAGTAGGGGAAAGCAGCACATTTAACTTGTTTTCCCTGTTTTAGAACGAGTGTAAGCGAGGATGCGTTGTATAATGTCAGTGGAGCTTGTCAGCTCTGTGAGAACTCACCTCCTTCCTGTGTTTTTCTGCCCACCAAGAACTGGAATGATCAGGACCACTGCGCCTTTGTGCAGAGCCACCTCTTGGATATGCTGGAACTGCTGCTGGAGCCAGAGCAGCTCACTGCCTCCTCCCATTCCACCCACAGCAGCGTGGTGTCCTACGAAGCTGTCTGTGCCCTCAGCTTTCTTATTGAAGGGACCCTGAACAAATCCAGGACGGTCTATCCTCTGCACGAGCTTGCCCTCTGGCAGCCCTGCCACAGGCGAAATGGGTACTCAAAGGTCTCCAGAGCCTTCTCTTTCTCCAAGCTAGAGAGCTGGCTGCGGTCTTGCCTGACGACAAACCCTTTTGGAATGACTGCCTGCTTCAAGTCCGGGAAGAAACTTGCATGGGCACAGCAAGGTACCTACAGGCCTTGCCTTTATTTTAGAAATAACTTTCCAATCTGAGTTCCCCTGCTGACCAGGGATCTAGCAGTGGTATTGGAGGCTTGTCTCCTTTTCTTCCTACTGTTGGTGGAGTTGAGTAAAGTGACAGCTTAGAGGTGAGTCTGGGGGACTAGAGGGTGCTGCCTGACATCTGTATGTATTTTTCTGGTCCTTGGATCACTTTTGTGAGCAGACATTAATGAGTTTATTGTCAAAGGCCCCTCTGAGTGAGGTCAGTATTACTGCCCTCATTATTCAAGTACAGCTGGACACAGAGAATAGATAATGTGATGTATTTGGGGCAAAGCTGAGAACTGGTCTAGGCAGGGACGTGGCAGGGGAGCCAAGGCATCTTCCCTGTGAGGAGAAAAAAAATCAGATTAATGTTTTATTTCTCCGACTGCTGTGCATTAGGTAGGACAATGAGGTTGCTCAAGGATTGTACTGTAGAGGGAGCATTTTGCTCTCTTAAAATCTGCAGTTCCTGCTTTCAACATAAAACTTGCCCTAAGGATCTTCCTGCCAAGCTAAGTTTTGTGTTTGGAAACAGACTAATGGAAATGGAGACGCCTAGGTCAGGGCTTTGGCTGCCCCTGAAGTGGTTTTGATCTTTCTGGAGCATGTGACTGCTACATTCTTCTGACCTGCATAGTAGATATCAGTAGGGTAGTATGACTGGTGTGTGAAATTATGCAGTTTGATGGTACCATCCTGGAAGTTTTGGGCTGATTATTTTCTTGAAGTATTGATGAATGATACGGACGGTGAACCATCATGTCTGTGTCTCTGTAGGAATCATGTATAGCCTTTTTTGTGCTTTTAAGAAAAAATTTAAATGCATTGGTGAACTTCTTTTTGCAGTTGAAGGAACCACCAAGAGAGCAAAGATTGCCTGTAATACTTGTGTGGCACCGGCGGCGTTCCCCATGGTGATAATGAGCCAGGTGTACAAACAGACACTGGCCAAGAGCTCCAGCACCTTAGTGGGGGCTCATGTAAGAATTCATCGGTGCAATAAGTCCTTCATTTATCTCCTCTCTCCTCTCCGGTGAGTTTTTGTTCTCCTGGGACACAGCTAGATGTCTTTTCAGCTAGCCTGTTTAAGTGCTAAATTCTTGCTAAATGGACTAAGCAGTGGAAAAGTCCTACTTTTGTTCTTTCCTGCTCACTGTGTCCTCACTGTCTTGTTCTTTTGCAGATCTGTGACCATTGAGAAGTGCCGGAATAGCACTTTTGTCCTTGGCCCTGTGCAGGCATCTGTTCATGTCCACAGCTGTGACAACGTCAAGGTCATTGTGGTTTGCCATCGTTTGTCCCTTTCTTCCACCACTGGCTGTACTTTTTACATTCTTACGCCTACCCAGCCTCTCATCCTCTCGGGGAACCAAGCAGTCAGCTTTGCCCCTTTCCACACCCATTATCCAATGCTTGAAGACCACATGGCTCAGGTGGGCTTGGCCACTCTGCCAAACTACTGGGACAGCCCCATGCTGGTGTGCAAGGAGAGCAGCGACACAAGTATCTTCCGCCTCCTGCCACCCTCAGACTTCTACACCTTTGTGATTCCTTTTGAGATGGAAGGAGACACCACTGAGACGCCGGGTGGGCTTCCCCACGCGTATCGGAAGGCGCTGAGTCAGAGAGAACAGAAGGTACAGATCTGGCAGAAAATGGTGAAGGAGGCAGGCCTGACCAAGTGAGTGCTGCATCCGAACACAAACACGTGAGCAGTGTTGCAGTGCAGCTTGCACATACAAGGAGAAGATTCATTTGATGTGGTTTAGAAAAATGCTTTAATGATGGGTTAATGTGCATGAGCATGTCTTGCATACTATATCTAGAGTATTAGTAATCAGCAATCTTGGAATCCTGATCTTTAGTATTATTATAATGAAAAGAATAATGCTCACAGCTGTAACTCTGAAGGAGGCACTTTGTCATGACTGCGTTTTCCTCGCTTGTGAGACTCGCGGAAAAGCATGCCTAGACACTGCTGAGGGTGAGGTGAGGGATCTACGCTGGCATTAAGCATTTACAATTTACCTCACGGTGGGTACTCTCTCTATGCTGTCTCTGTTCTGCTTCCAGTGTCGCATGCTGCCATGGGTGAGATCTGGGTGTATACCCTGAACAACAGCTCAACTAATTATTGGCCTGCGGCTGATGGGTGGTCACTCTTAGCCCAACCTTTACATTGAGATCGAAGCTTTAAATTACTGTCCCATCTGTTGCTGAGGTGAGCTAAGAATGTGCATGTGGACCATTGCAGTAGATCACCTCGTGGACAGTAGCTTTTAAAGTTCTCTTCATCAGATTGCATCACATCCTCTGCCCAGCTTTTACTTGTACTAGCTAGGCCTGCCTTAGCGCACCTCATGCACGAATGTGTGTCTGTTTGCTTTCTCAGCACCTGTTGTGGAGTTCTGAAAAAGTTCAGCCTGCTTACTTTGTCAGTGTGCTTTCTTCTGTAGCCAGCCAGGTTGGGCAAGAATGCAAATCTCTGCGGCCTTCAGTTTAGCTGCTTTTTATCTTTTTTTATCTTTTTTTTGAACGGATTTGATGCAGAAACCTGAAGGACCTGGCCTCCTTTGCAAATATAGAATGGGGACAGAAGCCCAGATATTCCGTTGTAAAGACTTGAAGAGATGAGAACAAGTTTTGTTCCCTAAGCTGCACTTAAGCTGTATAGATTTTCTTTCTGTTCTGTGCTCAGTCGATGCCTTGTAACGGGTGTGTAACTGGGTGCTGATAAGCAGTGATTTTTGGAGGTGTTTATCCTGTGGGGAACAGCGAATATGAAAACCTCCTCTTGAGTCAAACTGTCAGCACTTTTCATCGTACCAGGCTGTGGAGTTCTGGTCAATTTGACCATTCAGTGTTCCTTTCTGAAATCCAGGTGCCTCTGTAGTGAGCTTGGAGGAGCCTGCAGTTTGAAAGAGCTTTAGGCTGGGAGACAGAAAGGATTCTGGAGGGTGGAGGATGGTGGAGTAGTAGTGACCCAGTAGTGGTCCACAGGTGTGGAAAACCTTGAAAACTCTCAGCCCTGAGCCTTTGAGGGTGACAGAGAGGAAAGTTATAAATTCAGCCCTGTGCTTCCTCCTCCAGCTGCTGTCCTCCCAGCGTTGCTGCTTCTCACCCCAGGATTTTGTGAAGGTGTTTGGCCTGACTAAATCTTACTGTTAAAGAAAAGTGAGGCAATATGGATGATGTGCTTAGATTTAACATCCTCTACAGCAGTCACAGGAGATGAGAGTTCACTGCTGGAAGTGGCTTATTTCATAAAAGGGGGAAAACTCTGCCAAGCTTTTAAAGCTTGCTGAAACGAAATTGGGCAGCTGATGGTGTAAAATGTCTCTGTCTCCTGCAGGCAGAGAAATAACAAGGGAGGCAACTAGGAAGTTCAGAGCAAACAGGATATCAGACTTGTAGAAAGAAAAAACCTGCCCTGCTTTAAGGGGAGGTGAAAGAGAGTGTTAGAAATAAGAAGACATCTTTCAAGAAGTTGAAAGTTGTCTGAATGAGGAAAGTGGGGCAAAAAAAGAATGTAAATCCTGCCAGGCTGAAAGTAAAACCCCCGTAAGACAGGACCAGTAAGACAGCTTGAGGAACAACTTGCAAAAGCATAAAATCCTGTTTATTCATTTTCTGAGTGTATCAGACAGAAAGTCTTTTCAGGGTCAGTAGCAGATGAAAGTATACAAAAAGCACTTGAAGAAGATAAAACCATAAGGGAAGAAAGAAACAACTGCCTTTGTGTTCACATTCACTGAGGAGGAATTTAGGTTAGTTTCTGTCCTAGCACCCGGCTTTCTGGGAATGTCTCAAATGGAAGCGTTAGTACAAAGAAGAGCCTTTAATTTGAAAAAAAGGGTCTTGGGTACACCAAGCCTCTCTGAGGCTGAGTGGCACAAAAGTGAATAGGGCTGGTTTGCTGCTTTTACCAGTGCAGGATGGGATCAGCACATGAATTAGGAGTGGATTCGGAGCAAAACCACATAAAATCTCTACAAGATAGTGAAAATGTTCATGTTTTCCATGGGTTCAGAAAGGAATTGCATAAGCTTATAGAAAAAGAAAAAAAGTCCAGCAGGAGCTGCTTGACACCGATGCCATGTTTGACTTAAGAAATTCGGGAGCTGAGCTGATCCCAGATAGCTGGTATGTTTTTCTGGAGAAGTACTGCCCTGAACCTCTGCTGCTCTTTGGCATTTGACCAATGGCAGAGCCAGAGAGCCTGGGCTAAGTGCTATACCCTGTTATTGCTGGTCTTACTAAAACCACCCCAAAAGTTATTTAGCAGTAATGGGAATTATTTGAGGAGTGTTGTTTATAGGTGCATTTTTTTCCTGCTCTCCATCCTCTCAGATGCTGTCAGACTAGAATTTTGTGTCTTTATTGCTTGAACACTGGTTCCTAATCTTCTTTTTCTCCCTTTTCAGACAGTTTTTAATCTGTGCTCTAAGAATAAAGCAGAGACAGCCCTATGAAGCAGGGTTGCTGTGCTAGGGGGATGTGGAATTTTGCATGACCTCTCTCTAACTCCACTAAGTTCTGCCTGTAGTCATATTCACTTAGTAAAAACCTCCTCTTCCTGGTACAGACAGTCTGGGAGCCAAGCCCAGCACTTAGCTGATATATATGGAGGCTTGTTTTGATAGTGAAAGTGAGGTTAGAAGTATAATACTATAAATGAATGTGAGCTTTGCATACGTACCTGCTGATCTTCTTTTTGTTCCAGGGACCAGAGGAAACAGTTCCAGATACTGGTAGAAAAGAAATTCTATGAGTGGCTGTTTCAGACAGGCAACCATCAGCAGCTGGATAGCCTTGTCCCTCCTGCAGTAGGCTCCAAGCAGGCAGCTGGATAACATCACATTCCTGTGCAGCAAGAGGAAAGGAAGAGTGAGTAGAGGGCTTGTTTCTCTTCATTCTTTATCTAGAAGAATTGTCTCATGTTTATGTGCGCAGACTAGGCGGAAGTAGAAGTAGGAGGTTGTTAAGTGGATGTTCTCCCAAGAGCCTTGCATTTGGTTTTGATTCTTATTTTTCATTCAAAACCTCTTTTCAATTTGAAGCTGTTCCCTGTGTACTCAGCACCTCCCTTGTTCTCTGCAGGTGTTCTGTTTGATTTGTTGGGGATACCTGTGTGCATCTGTAAAGGCAGATAGGCATATTGTACATAATCTGATATAAAAACTTACTTGAACAGCTGCTTTTTCAGAGAGGCTGTGTATATTAATGTCCGTACTTAACCTGTTTCACTTTTTGCTTAAGATAGTTGAGTGAGACTTCACATAATTCTTGCTTTGTAGTCGTTCTCTTCCCAAGAAGAAGGGGTTTAGGAGCCAGAGACAAGCTCTTATTGTGCTTTTTTGGCATTGCAGGTTTCAAACCATTTGCACAAGTTTTTATTTTTTTTTTCTTTTCTTTAGTCTTTAAGTTGCTTTTTCTTTACTAGTGTTGGGAGTAAAATTTGCTCCTGTTATTTTGTTACAGAGTTCTGGGAACAGGCAGCCATACCCTGAAAGCAGTTCTCATTAAGACTTTGTGGACATCCTGACTGAACACACTTGGTGTGGATCTGATACAAGGCCTCAGTGTGGATTGGACTGTGTGTCGGATTTGGGATTTCTGATCACTGCCACTTTCCCAAGATTGTGCTGTAACTATTCTGTTGATAAATGAGAAAGTGCATTTCACTAGAGGATGATGAAGTATGCCTTGTTGCAGACCCTTTAGTGGGGAGGATGTCAGCATGGTTCATGTCTGTGCTGTGCAAGTATCTGGCAAAGAAGCCGTTCCTGGTGCAGAGCTGGATGCAAGGCTCTGGCCATTGTGTGCATCTTTATGGTACAAGCCAGCTACGCTGTTTTTATAAATGTGAAAAAGAAATGTTTGATTTTTTTTTAATTAATGAAATTCAATGGATTTTTTTATATGAAGATGGCACTTAAACAATGTGATTTTATGAAATTAGCTTTCTTACACATTTGCATTGTTTTGACAAATGTCAATAAACCAAGAGTTCTCTGATAAGCCTGACACGTGTCTGAGGGAAAGTGCAGTGAACGTTAAGGACACAACATCTTCACCGATTAATAAAATGTGAACTGGCCAGCTGTGAGAAAAGTGCTAGTTTATGAGCAGCCATGGAATTGAAGATTTTGAAGGCTGCCCTAGCACAGCATTTTAATACAAATGTTGTTTCCTACCTTTAATATTTCTTGTGAAGAGCATCAGCTTGAATGAGTACCATTCTCATGTGCTCGTGGAACCTGTCTTGGGGAGATGTGCTCGTAGCTGAGCACCTGAACAAGATAGGTAGGCAAAATAGGCAAAGGCATTGCTTGGATGACCAAAGGGCAGTGGCTGTGCGTGCCCTGTGAAGAACTATCCAAGCTGAGAGTGAGCGGAAGGCAGGGGCATTTAGTCCTCTGGCATACACAACTGCTGTGGTGCTAGAGTTTTTCTGGAGACCTCTCTTGGCTCATGGGCAGGCATATGATGCAAGGTGAGTTTATTATATCTAACTGGCTTTTAAAGAAGGGATGTGCAAAGTGACCACAGCGAAGCTTTGAGATGTCCTTGTGAACCTACTCGGGCCTGGATTGTGGTTGAACTCTGATCTTCGAGACAGCATTTGAAAAAAAAACCACAACAAGGAAGTGGCCTCACAGCTTCCTAGCTGTAAGAGCTGTAAGCAGTAGCACTAGGTGATTCAAGACACCTAAAATGAGAAGAGGACAAGATGCCGCTGAGCATGCCTGTCTCAGGCTGTCATATCTGACTGCGTTTAGCAGAGCTGCGACGCTATATGTGGGGTGGCACGCAGAGCTGCTGTTGCGAGACTGCTTGTCCTGACAGATTTGAAATAGGGTCTGTGTGTTTCAGGCGCTACTGTGCCAAATTCGTTTCCCTTTGTTTCACTAAGCCTTTGGGCTGGTGCAGTGAATAGCTGCAGAGGTGTTTTTTCATCATTCACTGGCGGGGGGGTGTGGGTGTGCACAAGCCAGCAATCCTCACCCTGCCTGCTCAGTGGGCCAGAGTGTGGCTAAAAGGAAGAGTTTTGCTCAAACCTCAGACAGTGGTGTAAGAGTTTTGAGTTGAATTAGCAAGACTAGGAGATATGGTCAGAAATTTAGATATCCTTCCTTAGTGTTTGATGTGTGGAATCACTCACTTTGGGGGTGTGTCACCAGACATACTTCTTTTCCTCTGTGTCAGACACCTTCTGGAGCAATACAGCTCAAGCTGAGGGTGTGCTGTAAAAAAAAGTAGCCTCTTTGCTGCAAACATTTCCACTGGGAGCTTTTGAAGCAGAGCCTCTACACAGAGGCTGTTCATTACAAACCTGTGGTGTCTGTCCTAATTAAGCATATGTTGACCATTTCCTAGCTATATCCTTTGCTGCATGGGAACATTCTCTGAAAAATATTGGGTCTCTTCCTTACAAATGAGGATGGGCCTTTTAGAGCTGACGAGCATGCCTTTTTGTTTAACATGCTTGAAAGGGAGAGAGCAGCCAAACTGCCCCCCGTCCTCCAGGACTTGGCAGGGGGCTGCATGTTTTGAGTGCATTTGGCAGAGTTTTGGTGTTCTGACTCAGCAAATGGTAACAAAGAGAGGATGGCGAAGCCTTCCTTTATTCCATAATCCTGTTTGCTTTTCTGGAAATCGGCTATAGCTTCAGAATCACTGACTCAATTTTTGGATCCTATTCTCATGACAAAGCGGCTGTCTGGTTTAAAACAAGCCCATTATAAAAAGGGTGCCTCGGGTCCAGGCTGTTTGTAACAGCTTCTGACGTTCCTCCAGCATTGGGGAGCTTGGCTGGAACGGAAAATGTCCAGAGCTGGAACCAAGGTAAGTTTATTTGCAGCCTATATGTGATTGTGGCTAGAAGGACAGAATTTATCAGGGGTAAGTCATGGAGACACTTTGGTTTCTTTGTTCTGCTGACAGCTTCCCTGTCTGTCAGTGTGTCAGCAAGAGGAGATGCTTGAAATTCCTCCTCAAGCAGCGAAGCTGGAGCTGAGCCCTCCCTAGTCTTTTTCCAGATCTTGGCTGTTTCCTCTAGGTGTGGCTCTGTGAGAGGATGGAGTGGAACACAGTGACTGCTGAGGGGTTATTTTAAAATCTGCCAGGACCTGATGCCTTGTAAACTGACAGCAGAGGCTGCTGTGCCAGCAGTGAACATGATAAGCTGCATTTGCAGAATAGGTTCTCATGGAAGGCTTCCTTGGGAGGACCCAAGTCCCAACACCAGTGACAGCTGCCACATCTCCCTTCTGTGGCGGAGCAAAGGTTGTGCTGCGACAGAAAGACACCCGAATGATGTCCATAGTATTGGAGGTGATAGCACTCACTGAGGGATGCAAACCAGCCTTGTGATTTGATGGAATTGGCAGAGATGAATTTAAACCGGAGAAGGAGGTAGATCAGAAAGCTCAACATCAGCTTGGCTCAAAGTGATTTGGCTGTTTATGAGCAGTCTTTAGAAACCAAGGATGGTGTGCTCCTTGCTTCTAACCTGGTGGCTGTCAGATTGTGGTGGTGTACAGTCTTTATGTACCCGTGCCTAAAGAAGGTGCTGGGGAAATGTAAATCATTCATCCTTGAGTCTTCTGTCTGCTTGAAGAGACTTAAACACATCCTGCCTTTACCCCTGCTGAAAACCATGTTCCCTGTGAGCGTGCTACAGGGAAGTCATTGCTGCTGTGGTGCAGCAAAGTGTCCAAGAGGAGTTAAGTCAGTGAAAGAGTGCGAATCTCATCTTTTCGCTGTGCCATGCTCTTATCTAACCCATTCCAGGGAGGAGAAAAGAGTAAAGGAATTAAACACTTTCTCATAACCTAAGCAGGTGGTCTGCTGTAGAAAGAGGTCGTTGCCCCCATGCTGCTTACTTAGAAGGCAGCGGGCACTACTAGTTATTGTTTATGAGTTTCCTTCTATCAGAGCTGCTGTTGGAAGAAATTTGATAATCCCTTGGCCACCTCATAGCAGTTAAGTTTTACAGTCCCATAAGGAAGATCTGCTATGGCAAATCTGTTATCTGTCAGGTAAGCCCCAAAAAAGCAAAGTTTGGGGAGTGAGCGGTTAATGGGTTAGTGCTGTGAGCAGAGCAATTTGATGGCTGTACTGAAGGAAGGTGAGTTATGTCCTAGTAGAATGCAACCGAAATGAACTGATGAATCTAGGACTGAAATCTGTAATTCACCTGTCATTATCCTGTAGGTGAAAAACATCAGTTCGGTCTGTTTGTACCTGAATGATTGGAGGAAGACTGAGGACCACTGAGTGTGAGGGTCTGAAATGAATTGCGAGTGTGTGTGTAAAGGGCTATGGTGAAGAATGGGAAGGCAGGAACCCTTTTGTTAAGTCTTCCTATAAGTGGTCTAAGAGTAAAACAGCTAATGACACCTTAGGTCGGCCACTTTTCTGTGGGAATGGCCATACCCTTAATGTACTCTTGATTTTGTTTGGCTTTGTGGCTTTGTAAGTACAGGGAAAATACCCTCTTAGGAACACTAGGTTTGCGAAATTGAAGTTCAGTTGTGTTAGGCTGAGTGGGGAAGGAACATTAAATCATCGAATCATAGAATGTATGAGCTTTTCTTTCCTATTAAAAAATTAAAGGCCAACTTAACCAACTTCATGCGCAGTTGCTGTGATGGGGCATTGTCAGAGGAGCTGGTTCTGCTGGATGCCAGCCGCAAAATCAAGGCACCTCACGCAGAGCCAGGACCAGAAGTGAAGGTGATGGAGACCCGTTCCTTTCCCACTGCCATTCACCCTGCTGCGAGGCAGGAGGAGACATTCCTCTGCCTGGGCAGGGTGCTACCTGTATGGAGGCCAGACCTGTGCTCTTGCAGACGTTGGCAGGGTTCTTCACTGACCGTGCTGGTTGCTCACTGCGTAGATGGGAGTGAGACTGCAGATCAGAAGGGACTGCAGAGATTGGGGAGTGAGGTTGAAAAGAGGGAGAGCTCATAGTTGTCCCAGTGGATGGAAGAGATGCACCCGTGCGTACTGCCCTGCAGGAGAGTATTACAGGGATGCTGTGGCTTCTTTAACCACTAGCCTGAAGGAAAGGATTATTGGTGCTGAGTGACTGCCAAACCTCAGTGAGCAGGGCTTTCACAGTGTTGCCTCTGGGCTCATGGTGGCAGATTTTTCAGGTGATGCCTCTAGGGACCAAGATCCAGAGACGGGATCTGTAAAACCACAGCAGAGTTGTGGCTGGCAAGGGCTGACCAGCATGGTTAACTACCCAACAGTAGCAGTGTAGGGAAAAAGAAATTAGACATTTTAGTGCACACCTTTTACAACCTTTATTCACTTACTGGGAAGATGGTAATGATTTCCCAACTTTCCATTGCACTGAGAATGGGAAGAACTTGCTCAAGAGGGAGAGACGTGGGGACAGATTGTTTTGTTTGTGCCAACTGCTTCATAATGTGAGATCAGCCTCTTGAAAGTAGGAGGAAAATGTGAGGGAAATAACGTTATACTAATAAAGGTCTACTAACAGGCCACAAGACCAAAGACATAAATTCTCAGGCACAATTAGTCCCACTCCCTGGCT